ACTTTTTTCAAAGGAAAATTGATCAGTGCTAAAATGTCAACTGTCTAGGTACAGCAGCATACTGGCATGCAAACACTGCTCTCTTATTTCAGGTTCCCCAGCTGCATAGCATTTGCATTGTGACATTTTGTTACAACATTAGCAGGGCAGCTGATGTTTCAAAATCAATCAGTTTGTGTTGGTATGAGACAGCCTGCAACTTAGTTGGATGTTAAAGGTGTTTCTCTGAAATGTAATTAACTTGGATTTGTGTGTTATGGCAGTGTCTGCATCTCATGACTTGTTAGTGGTGGCTGCAAAATCGTACAACTATGTAACATTATCATTCTGCAATATCTTAAAAAAAAAAAAAATTAATACTAAGGCTTTCTCAGAAGTATAAAACCTTTCTAGACATTATATCTGAAATTTAATTTAAGGCAAGTTTTTTGGTGCCTGGTGCACTAAAATGCCTTACTGGAGAATTCATATCCTCTAAAACTACTTTTTAGAGAATAACAAGCTAAAATTCAGGTTTGTTTGAAAATGAAGTTGTTGTAAAGTTTTGGAGTTTCTATTCATCAACAATGCTTCTAATCAGAGAGAAATGCATTAAGAAGCCTTTTGTACTATTTCTCCTTCCATTTAGGCTGTATTCTGGAAAGAAATGTACATCAAAACTAGTTTTTGTCACTGAAGGCAAGTCAAATTGCAGTGGGAAAGAGATTTTACCTGAGCGATTTGTTTGAAATAAAATGTCAGTGCGTAGTAGAGTTTCCCTTTTTATGTAAAAGCATGGCCTTGATTATGTGTATTGAGAAACACTTGTAGTTGGACTTTGTATAAGTGGAACTGAGACCTAAAGGCCTATTACTTACTGTAATTGTGCTGGGTAAGTGCGCAGTTCATGTTCAAGGGCAGGTTGGATGGGGCTCTGAGCAACCTGGTCTAGTAGAAGGTGTCCTTGCCCATGACAAGGGGGCTGGAACTAGATGATCTGTAAAGTCACTTCCAGTCCAGGCCATTCTATGATTCTGTGTTGATCCTAAATATTATAAATATGTAATGAGTACTCTGATGTGTGTAGTGTGTCTGTAATAATATAGTGAGTATTATGACACAGTCCTTAGATAAGCAGAACTGAGATGTTTCTACAGCATTGTTTCTAGCCTGTTCTCTATCTTAAAATGGGGATGAGGGGACGAAAGCTTCCCGAAGGCTTTTGTTAGCATCTCCTGGAGATTGTTTTCCTTTTGATCAAACGGAGACTTCAGAAGGATAGATAAACTAGGGATAAGGAGAAAAATCCTTAATTAAGGTAAAAACTTTAACAGAAAACATCTTACTGGTTTCCCCTTTTTTTCAGCTATTCCTGGTCAAGGGGAAAGCTGGGATCTATAATTCTAACTCTCAGATATGCCATGGCTCTGGTGCTGTCAATTAAAAAAACCATCTATGTCAGGCTTTGGTTACATGAAAGTTGATACCCTACTAGATTGATTACATCTGGAAAACATCTTCCAATGCTGGCCAAACAGATCTTTGAATAAAGTTTGTCTAGTATTAATGAGTTAGTTGGAAAAAATGTAGTGGCTAGTAGTGTTAAATAGCTATCTCTAAATGGAGTCTATTTTTCAAAAAATTTGGTAGAAAGACGTGAGTAGGTATAGTAGTGTTGGATTAGCAGAGTAATTTGTTTAATTCCACAGAAGGTAATTTCTAATTGTATACAGTTTCTTTAGATATACTAATATCATGTTATATTTTACTCATATATTTGGTTTCATTTATCTTTTACCCTTTTTCCCTCTTGCAATTCACTGCTGTACAGGCTCATACTCACCTGCGTGATGCACTTAATGGAATCAAATAGACCATAGTCAGAGGTGTGAGAAGGAAGACTGTTTCTAATAAATGTACAGCATAATGTTTTTTAATCATTATCTAAGAATTGAATGGTTTGAGGAGCGATGCAGTCAATAGCACCTCTGTTTTCTGCCAGAGCTTGCTTGTTAGATGAATAGACTTTAAATTCCTGAAAATAGGCTTATCATTTAGTCTTTAATGGAGATGAATAGTTCATATCAGGACCTTTAGCAGCAGGTTTAAAGAAGGGAAAATTTTCCCTTCCTCTGTCTTATTGGTCACCATGTCAGATCCTGCTTTAGCTCAGCTCTAAGCTAAGTTTGTTTCTGACTTTTTTTTTTTCCCCCTCAAATATTACCATTGTATTAGACATTTCAGCAAGATGCTGTGTTAGCATCTTGTTAAATCTAGTTAAAATGAGCTAATTTTAGTGTGACCTTACAGAAATGCAGTGGCCCAGTGTCACATCGAGAAGGCTTCTGTGAAGTCTACATCTTTAGAACCATGTCTTTGTTTATTTTTTTAATTTGTGTTCTGCACACTTGTTGACATTGATTAAGCTGTTGCCTACAGAAACAAAGTTGTCAAGTCCATGTTAGCATCAAGGTTTCTGCTTTGTTTATTTTGTTTCACAGATTTCCCAGGGAAAACCCAGTAGAGATAACAGTTATTGGTACATTTAAGCCCGCTATATAATTGTGAGGGTTTGAGTTTAGTTGTGTGTTTGGGGTTTTTTTGTTGTTGTTGTTGTTTTGGGTTTTTTTGGTGATTTTGTTGGTTTTGTGTTTTGTTGTTGTTGAGGGTTTTTAAATACCCTTTTTGTACTAACCCATAGCAGTTTTTTGACTCCTCTAAGATAGACAACAAAGCTTTCAAAATATTGTGAAATCTGTACTTTAGCTGAAATTTATCAACCTCTTACTGATATAAAATGAGTATATATACGTAAGTGGTGGATTGACTCTGGCTGGCAGGAAATCCTCTCCCTGCTCTTCCAACCTTTCCTGGAGAAGAAGTTCAGGAAGGGCAAAAATAAGAAAACTCACCAACTGAGGTAAAAACAGTGTACTAAGTGATAAAAAAAAAGAAGAAAAAAACCCACAAGTGATGCTTAGCACCAGCAGACTGATGCCCAGCCAGGCCTTGAGCAGTGACTGCTTTGGAAAAGTTACCCCTTAGTCTTATTGCTGAACATGATGTTCTATTGCTGAACATGATGTTCTAGCCCTTTCTAAATTTAGACTTAAGATACTTCGTTTTTCTAATGTTGTTAAGTATTCTTTCTCCTTTCTTAATTTTAACTGCTGCATGATGTGGTACTGACCTTGCCTTGATCTGCATCACTCACCCCAGCTTTCACCAGCTCAGCTCAACTCAGCTCTGAGATGTCCACACATTCTTGTCTGTGACTCACTCTGCTTCCTGCTCTGATGATCCAGGCCCTGGGACTGGAAATATCTGAAGTTGGCAGTGTTTAATGTTCTCTCTAAATTAAACTGCTTCAACATGATTGGAATTTGGAGCTATATTCTTTACTTGGCAACATTTTGATGTCTTTCATGTCTCTAAAATATCAAATGTCATGTTTTCCCTTTTTTTTTTTTTTTATTTCCTGGTAAAATGATCTTTATGTTGAGTACCATATAGAGATGAAAACAAGGCTATGCTTGCAGGAATTTGTCTAAATTTAATTTCAGAGTTGTTGGAAAAAGTCTTCAGAATCCTAGTTTGGACTCTGTAATAGGGAAAGAAATCCTGTTTAAAACCTAAAATTCTTATCTGCTTGAAAACATGAGCAATAATCTAACATCACCTTTGTGAAAGCTGATTTTCTTTACACTGTGGGTCAATTAGAAAAAATATAATTGTGAGGAATGACTTTGTATATGAAAATGTTAAGTTTTATGTTTATAATCCAAGTAAGTTGAAGCAAAATGTTCTCTTTCAGTTAAAATTGTTCAAATATTTTGATGAGGTTTCCTCAACTGTGTTTAAAGAAAACTGTCCTTAGTTTTAGGATAACTTTATTTTAGTTTAGAACAGTGTCATGAGGATCCCATATCTTAATGAAAATAAACATTTGCTCTAACCTTGCAAAGTGTTTAAGATTTGAAAGATGTTAGATATTATTTTCACAATAGAAAACTCCAAGATCACTGGTTTTGATTCTCAATTCCTACAAACCTCTCAATTCCTACAAGTCTCCAAAATCAGTTTTAAACCAGTGTTTCGGTTAATTGATAGTATTTATGTAGCAATGTATTTTTACTGTATATATATAACTTTATTGTCAGTCTTTCTTCAGGTTTTGAATGTTACTTTTCTTTGCTACTTTCATCACTGTCCAGTTTGACTTCCATAAACATCTTGTCATAAATGTATTGTTTATAGCAAGGACATTTTTTTTCTGATTAAATGTGATATTTCAAGTACTGTGTAGAGAAAAATACCATATACTTGTCTCATGTGAAAGGATAAATGCGTGTGTGAGTGTGCACACAAAGATTGTTTTTTGTGTCATTTAAGTTATTAATGGAAAAGAAGCAGATGGTATTTTGTGTAATTCAGTCTCTGCTCTGATTTTAGCCAAGTGGAATTACTTGCTGGTGTTTAGAAGGCATCCAAGTTATTTTCAAACATAATTTCTGTTTTTCTGATGGTGTTTAAAGCAAAATTGGAGGTTTACTTTACCAGGGACATGAATATAGAACAATAAGTATATTGGCCTTTAAAATTCATTGGTAAAAACACAAGGTTTTTTTTTTATCCTTTTATACAAATGTAAATTGTATATAATATGGCTTCATGGAATATATTTACATGGGATCTGTTGAAGGCTGTCTAGGCAGAATAGGACTTCTAGTTCAAATATGTTTGGGAAAAAGTATACCACTTTCAGTTATGTCTTCCTGTTTAATTCAAATAGCATTGTAGTTTTAGAAAAATGTTTTTTCACTGTTTGTTAACTTGTAAATATTTCTGCTGACTTCAGATTCTGGAAGGCTGTGCTTAGTTATTCTTAATAGGAGAAATTGTCTTACCCAATGTTGTGTAAAGCTGTAACAACGCAGAGTGACTTGTTACATAATTTCTGGTTTTTGCTATCAGTTTTCTTAAGCTGACATTTTATTAATTGAACTTCTGTTTTCTTCCAGCTGACAGCACGATCGCTACCTTCCATACAGTCTGATGAGAGACTACAACCTCTGCTTAATCATCTCAGGTAGCATAAACTGAAAGCATGAGTATATTCCTTCATACAAATTAAAGTAATTGTATTAGTAGAATACTTTAGGTACAGGTTTTTTTTTCAGACACTTCATCTGTGTAAATTGCTTTGACTGGAAAAAACCCAAATGGAACTCTTCAACTTAAGAAAAGCTTTATAAATGACAGGATCACAGATTACAGAATATTCTGAATTGGAAGGGCCCCACAAGGATCATTTAGTCCAACTCTTATGTGAATGACATGAAATATAATTTATAGAACTGGTATTTTATAGTAAGTGCAGAGTTGTTAAGGTTCTTTATGAACAAAGCAGATTCCAAGTTACACTGCTCAGAGCATGGGCCTTCCTTGTTGCAAGTTTTCTATGCTCTGTGCTGTTTTTGGAAGATTTCACTGTCATTGATGAATGGAGTCCTAATTTGTTCTTTCAATGGACCTGAGGATGTTGATGAAAGTGAACCATTAGAGTACTCTCCAACAAAACTAAATAGTGTGCCTCACTCTTTAGTGGTACATATAGATATATAGATATATGTGCTTTCTACTTTATTTGTAGGAAAGGGAAGAAGAGTAAGAAAAAACACTTTCTTGATGTTCTTCAGGTTAAGCATCCGGCCTTTTTCATATATGTGATTGCTTTTTACCACTTTATATGGGAGAGTTTTCTTACTATGGTAGTATGAAGGAGGACAAGGCCCATACAGTTAGAGGAAGATGGCTTAGAATCATAGAATAATTTAGCTTGGGGTGAACCTCTGGAGACGACTTGATGGTTAGATCAGGTTACTCAGGTATTTATTTCTGTTGAATTTTTAATATCTCTAAGGAGAGAAATTTACTTAGATATTGGATGTCTGTAATGAAATCTCTGTTTTTGAACATGTACAGCTTTGCACTAAGATTACTGAAACTATGGTGCATGAATTAGAAATGTAATTTTTGAAGCTCCATCAAGGCAGCAATGCACAGGAATTAGGATGCAGATGTAGTTAGCATGCTCCTTATTTCCTGTCGTGCTCTGCTGCTTGAGGTATTTGTACCCAAAACCTGACATTTTATTTTGATTTTTTAAAAAGTCTCATAATTTTTAATTTATAGGGAGAGGTTTATATTTCGTTGTTTTTAGTGGAAGTCAGAATAGGAAAAATAGCTTTTGTTGTATCTCTGCTTATTTACGTATGATTGGACTTTGTTCAAGAGCAGTGATTGAGAACAAGTATTGCAGTGTAACTGTTCCATAGCTGGTTAGGGGTACTTCTGAATGCCTGTAACCTGCAGTGTTTTTATTACCATACATCTCGCTGGGATTTTAAAAAATATGCCTCAGTGGCATACCTTTCTCCACTTGAAGATAAAGAGCAATTAAGTTAGCTTTTTATAAACTGTGCTCTCTAGGAGTAATTACTGAGAAACTGGAAATTTCATTTGATATATGCTATGCATCTATGTAAGTGGAACTGTCTTTTCAGCGATCAGTCCTATCTATGCTTTTTTTTTTAAAATATGGGAAAAGGTTGCAAAAAAACCCCAAACTACTTTAACAGAGGTACTGTATCCCACATTTATGCTACTTTTTGTACATTCTTAGGTTACCTTGGTAGGTATGCTACACAACTGGTAAGTTACTTCCATTTTGCTTCTGTGAAAATGGAGGGACTGATTCCAGTATTTTTTGTCACCTACTGGAAAAAATTATACAAATGTTTCCAAGTTGCCTTTTTGCAAGTTCCTTTAAAATGAGGAAAATATATCAAACCTTACAACTTGAAAAGCAGGCTCTGGCAGTAAACAGACAGGTGACCAAATAGGTCATCTTTGTTATTTATCTGTGAATCTGTGATTCACTGTGCTTCATCTTACTCATAAGAAAAGAGAATATTAGTTAGTTGTAGACTTTCCTCTGCCTTCATTGTGTGAGTTCTTACAGCAGTATTTTCTTTTTGGCATATGTCAATAGAACTCTATCAGGGGAGCAAAAGCTTAGATAGAAATGTATGAAAAGAGCATACAGTTGAAGGTTACAGAATATTGTTTAGTTGTTAACGCCCAGCATGTTTTTTGGCACCTTTTCATGTCTGCTTGTGATTTATAAATTAGGTAGTCGCCCGAAATGGTGGTCTTACTGTGTATTCTGTCCTCATAGATATTGTATACCATGCATATGTTTTGTAATTGGATAGTTCTGGACTAAAAATGTATTTTGTCTATGATTAGATACTCTTGTCCAATTCTGTTTCATTGGTGCTTTCTAATACTACTTGTACTAGATAAAAAAAAAAGAGAATGTTTTTAATTAAAATGTTTAAACATTTGCTGCAAGGTTGTGTTCAGGGATTTCCCATGCTCATAGTAGGCTACAAAGAGATTTAAATTGCTAAAACTGGTAAAATTTAATAGAGATGGAAATCTTTGTCTAAATGCATGAGAAGAACACTTCTGCAACTCCTGCTTTTTATGGGGTGTGTGATGACATCATAGGGGTGTAACACTCTACTGTTTAAAATCTTCAGCGGGAATAATTTCGAATAGACAAAAGCTGTTGTATGTAATCCCATCAAACTACTATAAGACTGGGCCTGTTTCTGAATTACAGGGAGAAACTGAGTTGACTTTATTTAATCTGGTTAAAGAGAGGCTTAGGGATGATCAAATTGCAGCTTACAACTGCTTGAAGGACAAATATCATTATACTGGAATTCTCGATGGTGCCAGAGGATATGACAAATGACAGTGGTCACACACAGCAGCTTGGGAGGTTTAGATCAAACACTGGGAAAAATGTCTATACCAGAATGATAGTGCAGCAGATTGGTCAGTGATATGGAATGTTGGTTCATGGAGATTTTTAGGATTCAGCTGGAAAAATCCGCAGCTCACCCGACTAGTGTTGGCAGTAATCCTGTTTAAAGCGGGATGTGGGACTAAATGGTCTTCTAAAGTCCTTTACAACCAACACTTATATGATTCTATTAATTCTGTCTTCAAGTGATAGTTCATAAGGTTGATACCGAAACCAAGTGTTTTGCAAGACTGAATTTTTTTTAATGGATAATGCAATACTCATGCAGACATATTCATCCTCCTTATCACCTGCGCTCATCTCACAAGCAAGTACAGAAGAACGCACACCTTGATGAACTGTCGTTATTTATTATCCTGAACACCTACAAAGTGCCCTTCATACCTTCACTAAATCTCGAAATACACTGACACATCTGTGAATAATACAATATTTATCAAAACCGTCCTACAGCTGTTTATTTGAAAGACATAGATCCTGTTCTTGGAAGCATTGATGTAGTGGAAGTTTATTCTTGGTCAACAGCTGTGCAAGTGTATGTATTGATCTTTAGTTTCAAGATGTTTTAGAAAACTTCTGGTAACTAAAATATTGGATTTTAGAAAAGCAGATTTGGAGTGATTGAAGGTCAGGAAGTAAGTTCAAGAGCTATGTCGAATAAGAGAAAGAATGAGTCCAAAATAAGAGCTAAAACTGAAAGCAAAAATATAAGAAAGTGAGAATGATCCCAAACCTGAGTAGTTGGTGTTGTAATATGTTTTCAGACCAGTAGTAAGAAACTGTTTGCCTACATTTAATGATGTGAAAAAAGTGAGGACTATTGTTCATAGAACAAAGAATAGTCTGAGATTTTTAGTTTTGCAAGATTGCTGAGATTTTTGTACTAGAAATGTAGCGAAAAAAATGGCAATCTGTGGAGAAAGCAGTGCGATTTTTTTAGGATGGAACCAAGGGACTTGGAGAATCCCTACTGTAGAAAATCAGAAGACCTGGCACCTGAAACTGCAAACCTGAAAGCTTTAGTCCCTTGAGCTCCTTGGGACAGGAATCCAAGAGCTTTGCTGCCAATGGCCATATGGGTAGTGCTGGCCTTTGTGCCTAACCCCAATCTACCACATATTCTCTATAAAGCTCATACTCTTTTTCAGAGCACCACCTTTGAAGGTAATTTGTAGGGCTCAGCTTTTTAGTGAGTAGTGTCAGGTATCAAGAAAATTTGACCTTGCAAAGGTCATACGCTACTTTTTAATGTAAAAAATTAATAACTTTTCCTGTCTGTGTACCATGATGAAAATATTTGACCTTCTCAGAGACTGAAAAGTAAAATTTCTTCTCCCCCTCAGCCCCTCTTAGCTCTGAGTTTTCTCTCCTTGCAATAGATTTTTCTACCAAGTCCAGATGTAATGGTCAGTAAGATTCAGAGAGCATGTCCTGTTTTAACAGTAACTTACGAAGTCTTACTTTGTTCACTTTTAGGAAAACTTGTGTCTTCTCTTCAGACCTTCTCTTCCTAGGCCAACCTTTTCTACGGGAGCTAGGAAAAACTAATTTTCTTCAGCTTGGCAATTTTTTTCAGTATGAATATGATTCTAATAAATACTTTAGGATATGAGCAGGTGATCTAAAATGATTATGGTGGAATAGCTTAAGAAGTTAGTAGCACTCATCCAGGGATGTGATCATTTACTGGTTTTCTTAATTGAGTGTTTAAAAAAAAAAAGTTGCCTAAGAAATAACTGTTAACTGTTGTTCTGTGCTTCAATTGTAATTTTTTAGCACTGTGATTTCTGTTTTGTTTGTAGTTTGCCTAAGTAAAGAGATGCAGATCTGTTTCTGCAAGGTAATTTAGATAATTCCTTAGTAAAATCAGTAGTAATAGACATACATAGCTCAAATACTTTAAATTATTTATCTTATTTTATATTACCTTGTTGTGTAATGAAAAATTCTATTAAGTACAGCAGGCTTTCCTAGTGCTTCAGTGTGTGCCAGAAATAAGACTAAAGAATAAATGAATGCATTATAATTAAACAAACTGTTTGTACTCTAGTAAAATCAGCTCTTCATTATATGCTTTTCATACTTTACAGTATTGAAATGCCACAAAATAATCTGCAGCACCTAGAATTGTCAATTAGCAAAATGTCTTTTTTTCTGGAGATAAACTCTCCACGCTGTCAAAAGATTTAAGAAATGATCCTTAAATCAGGAGGTTAGTTAGTTAAAGCAGGATGTAAGTTAGTTAAAAAATCCCTCATGCACAAAGATATTTGTTCTTACCCGGGTTTTACAACCTGCTTTCTGGACTAGTATGTTCAATTCAAAGTCCCTATTTGCTCTATTACGTGCTGTGCTGTCAACTCTTGACTTTGGTTGGGTTCTGCTGTAAGCATTTCTCTGGTCCTGTTCTGCAGCCCTGCATATATCCTCATTCAAGAAGTCTATATATTTAAAAGTAAAAGCTGAATATTAGGTACTGAATTTGATTTGAAGATACTTTGGTGACAGTGTCTACTGTGTGACTGTCTCTGCTGTAGTGTAGGGTTACAGCTGGTTGCACGGCGTTAGGAAGAGCCCTCCCAGCAGCTCGAGGCAGGTGATTCTTTCCCCCTGCTCAGCACTGGTGAGACTGTATGTGCAGGGCTGTGTCCAGTCCTGGTGTCCCCAGTACATATGAGAAGAGGCTGAGAGAGCTGAGGCTGTTCAGCCTGGAGGAGATGTTTAAGGACAGTGTGGGTGTGAACCTTAGCAATGCATATAAATAGGTGTCTGTATCAGAGGAGGAATGAAGAACACAGAGGGAGTGTCCTCTCAGTGGTATCCAGTGATAGGCCAGGAGGCAATGGGTACAAACAGATATACAGCAAGTTCCAGTTAAAACATAAGAAGACAAGTTTTTACTGCCGGGGTGGTCAAACATTGGAACAGGTTGCTCAGAAGTTTGACTCTCTGTCCTTGGAGATGCTCATAACCCAGCTTGATGAGATGCTGTAAGCAACCCACTGTAGCAAACACATGTTTGAGCAGGGGATTGGACTGGATCATCTTCAGTGTCCTCTTTCACCCTCAACAGTAGCATGATCCTGTGATCTAAATTCTGTATGACCCCTCACCACTCTTTCCAGACAAAGGGGGTAGGGAGGGTTTCTTTACTATATTGGCTCTAATGTTGGTTTCAATTACTTGGTTTTTGGTTTTGCTGATGTAAAATAATTTCAGCCCATAATTGATAAAATAATTTCTTTCTAAATTTGTAAACTTAAAAAAATATTTTTGAGCAGCTTTAAATGATGCTTTACTGTTTGCTTTGTTTTTCAGCCATTCTTATGTTGGCCCAGATTACAGCATCCAAAAGAACACTGGAAAAATTTCTCTAGAGCAGATTGATGCTGTAAGTCCTCTATGTTTCAGGGTTTACATAGTATGTTGAAATAGAACTTTTTAAATTCAAATACTCCATGTGCAAACAACATAAAAAGTGTTTATCTTTTTTTCCTTCATATTTTCTTTGTAACTGTTGAATGAAATTGCGTTAAAGTTCAAAATGGAGCGGAGTTAACTAAAAATGCCTCTAATCAGGGTTTAAACTGGAGCTATAATGAATTACCTATTTTTCTGCTTAATTTTGTGTACTTTCACAAATACCTAACATAATTATAAGCAGATTTTAACAAAATTTTCTTATTTAATAATCTTGCAACCCGATGTTTAGTTTATGATTATTGCATTGCAGTATTAGTGTTTTCACTGCTCTTTTTTTGAGTTACAGAAGGGATTTTGAGAACAAGGAAATAAATAAAATGGGTTGTAAAACATCACACATGAATGTTATAGAGTCGATTAAAATCACATTGTAACTATTTTATCTGAATTTTAGGAACTGTGTGTGTTTTCAGTGTCCGTCTTAACCATTATAGACTTCCTTCGGTAGTGAATTCCCTGGCATGGCTCAGAGTTAAAAAAAACAACAACCAAACCTAAGTAAACTTGAATGTTACATGTCTTCCATTCTCTGAGATCTTACTTTATGACAAATAGTATTTTTCAGGGAGTACAACCTGCAGATTAGTTGCAAAGAATTTTACTCCTGCTTGTTGTTTTTCAAAGATTTTTTTTTTAAAAAAAGTCCCCTTCCCTAGTCCCCAGAAACTCTTACCATATGTCACTTTGCCTTTCCAGCTAAAATAAGGAAGAGACAGGAAATATTGTAATGGAATTGTGGATATATTTTTCCTGACAGCAGTTAAACCTTTGTTACTTTGTAGCTGAAGATAGTCTCTATGCCTCTGTCCTTTGGCCTTTGTCCTTGAGATGGTTCTTGGATTTGATGGCTTATGGACACACGTGTGTCATGGTCAGTCCCAAGGCTCTCTGTACACACATAGCTTTTCTTCCAGCCATTGGCATTTTCAAGCGGAGCTAGTTAATAATCACAAGAAGCATGTATTCCACAAATTAAATGATCAGTATGCCTTAAACAGGAATTTTTCTCTTGGCAGCTTTCGGTGAAGTCGTTCCCTCTGTGCATGCGGCAGCTGCACAGAGCGCTGCGCGACAGCCATCACCTCCGGCACGGGGGCCGGATGCAGTATGGGCTGTTCCTGAAGGGCATCGGCTTGACTCTGGAACAGGCACTGGAGTTCTGGAAGAAAGAGTTTATCAGAGGAAAAGTGGATGCAGATAAGGTAACTTAACAAATGAAAAATATCTAAACGTGTGTATGTGAGGATGTAGTTGATGTGTACGTTGTGCTACAGATTGGAATAGATAAAATTAAAGTAAGTAAGTGGGCAAAAGGCACAGTAATGTATTTTTAAGGTGAGTTTTTTCCTATCTTTGCTTATGATTTTAGTAACTTTGCTGGGCATCTACCTGACCTATGGGTAGAAAAGGCAAGCTATAAAGAGGCTTTTTATTGATGAGATTTAGAAATATCTTACTTTACCATTAGATTACTAAGAAGCCAATGTCCTTTATGAAATACAGGTACTATGTGACTAAATTAATTCACCAAGCAGGTAAGTGACCACAAACATCTGAAGGATAAGGTTAACCTTTTTTGTTGTTTGATTAAAAATATATATTAATTGGACATCTATGTGTGAGGTAGGCTTGCCTTAGCAAATTTACAGTCTAAGAATAAAAAAATGAAACTGGAGATGAATGGAGATAGAACAATATGTTCAAGGAAATGGTGAAAAATGCTGTCTGGTGCATTATTGATATATTATTCATTGGCCTAAGCTTTGCTAATATTTTTGAGAGTATCGTGAGTGAGGAAGGTGTAACATATGCTATGTGTAATATATGCTGTCTCTTTGAGACCATGAAAAATACATGCTGATTTTTGAAGGATTGTGACCTACTCCTTAACTTGAACAGCTTAGGTAGAATGAAGCAGGCTTTCTCTGTTTTTCTAGCTCCTTATATATGATATGATTTAAGAGGAGATACTTAATTTGTTAAAAAGGAAATCCAAAATGCATTTCTGTATGAAAGTTTCAAGAACAGCTCTGAAGAGAGGTAATAAAATTTTTAGTGAAATACCAATTACTTCCTAGTTGTATTGAGTTTGCATGGCCAGGTTTTGGTAGTGGATGAGGCTACAGGGATATGGCTTCTGTGAGAAGTTGCTAGAAACTTTCTTCATGTCCAGCAGAGCCAATGCCAGCTGGCTCCAAGATCACTGGCCAAGGCCGAGCCCACCAGTGATGGGCGTAGCTACTCTGGGACATTCTGAACATATTCAAGAAGGAGGAAGAAAAATTTTGTGCAATAGCAGCTTCATCCAGAGAGAGGAGTTGAGACTGTGTGAGGGGCACAACTCTGCAGACCCCACAGTCAGTGAAGAAGGAGGGGAAGGAGGTGCTCCTGGTGCCAGAGCAGAGATTCCCCTGCAGCCCATGGTGCAGACCATGGTGAAGCAGCTGTGCCCTGCAGCCCAAGGAGGTTCTGTGGTGGAGCAGAGATCCACCTGTATCCCATGGAGGACCCCAGGCCAGATTAGGTAGATGCCCAAAGGAGATTGTAATTCCATAGGAAACCTATGCTGGAGCAGGCTCCTGGCAGTACATGTAGCCCCAGGGAGAGAGGAGCCCATGCTGGAGCAGGTTTGCTTGGAGGATGTGTGGCCCTGTGGGGGACCCATGCTGGAGCAATCTGTTCCTGAAGAACTGCACCTCATGGAAGAGACCCATAGTTTGTGAAAAACTGCAGCCTCTGGGAAGGACTCAGGTTGGAGAAGTTTGTGGAGGACTGTCTCCGATAAGAAGGATCACACACTGGAACAGGGGAAGACTGTGAGCAGTCCTTCCCCTGAGGAGGAAGGAGTGGCAGAGACAACGTGTGGTGAACTGACCAGAACTCCCATTTCCTGTCTGCCTGCATCACTGAGTGGGAGCAGGTAAAGAAAATCAGGAGTGAAGTCAAACCCAGAAAGAAGGGAGAGGTGTGGGGGGGAATGTGTTTTAAGATTTGGTTTTATTTTTCATTAGCCCAAGTCAAGTCTTTTGCCCGTGACAGTAACGGGTGAGTGATCTCTCCCCATCCTTGTCCCACCCCATGAGCCCTTTGTTACATTTTCTCTCCCCTGCCCAGCCGACAGAGCAGCTTTAGTGGGCACCCGACATCCAGCCAGGGTCAACCCAGGACACTAGCTGAATTCAGGAAAATCCAGACTTTTCAGTTGCCATTTCCTGTGCTTGAAGGAAATTGAAAGAATGAAAGCAAGTTATTTAAAAAAAAAAAATAACTGTATAAAGATGCCCATTTGTTATTTCTGTTTTCAAAAAATATTGGGAGAACATAACCTGATTCTACCTACTTGTGCATTGACCAAGTATGTACATGCACATGTATGAAGACATGTATGCACCTTGGATCCCATTTTCAGTCACAGGTTTATGACTTTACTGTAGCATCTTCATTGATAGGCCCTAGAAATAAATGAAGTTTTATGATCCTATGTTTAGCTGCAATAGTTAGGATATTGTGAATCAAGCAAGGGGTTATAGTTATTGCATTTGTCTCAAGCAGGCTTCTATTTCCATGTTTTTTTGATTCTTCTCAGGTTCTAGATAAGCACTTTCAAACTGGGGTAAAAAAGAAAACTAATTTTTCACACCTCTAACTGAAATTAGTGGCCTGTAATTTTTCACAGTAAAATATCGTACAGTGTTTAATGTCCTGAAAAAAATGAAGATTAATACAATTGTTATTGGCATTTTCTTCTTTTGACAATTTTATTTTCTGGCACTCATGCCATTGTTTCTTTCCTGTAGAGTGGAGATAATTATACTGCTTTATCTTGCTGGAGCACTGTGAATACACACATGTGATACTTTCTAAAGATTAAGGTTAATTATGTAGTTACCTACTGGTATTTTGCAAAGAGGGAGTGTTCAATTTGCTGCAAATGGTTATGATTTCAAAATTGTTTGTTCACATTCGGTTTTAATGGATGCAATATCTATGCAAGTTCTCAATCCGAAGAATTCTTGGCACACATCTTCAGTCTTTAGCAGGATAGAAGTTACCTTGAGCATATCAGCAGCAAACTGGAGTGCACGTCTCCAGGCTAAGCGTAGACACACTGACAATTTGCACCAAAAAGGTTCCCTGTTTTCTGAATCACTGTATCTCAGGGCTCAGTGATAAAAACATTGTAGAAAAATTTTTAAAGAAATTATATTTTACCTTTAAGAGAGGAATCTGTGAAGTATATTGTAAATGAAGTGTGAAACCATGTAGTTGGGGGGGGGGGAATCAAGTTCTGCCTATAAAGAAAGAACTGAAACTGGTATAGATGCTCTGTTGGTGGGGTGATGGGGAATGATCATGTACTGGCATGTTCACAAAGAGACAAATAAAGAGTGCAAAATGAAATTTTTTTTTTTTTTATTTCTGCACTGCAATTAAAATTACTCTGCAAAATGCTAGGTTAAGAGTGCCTAAATGGTTATTATTGTTCAAATGAAAGGATCAACTGCCAAATAATGGTAGATGCATTACTTCTGACTAAATGGTTGTGCCAGTTGGCCTCATAACCTCAGTATTGTTTTAAGACTTGGGTTTTTTTATAAATTATAATCTTACACTAAACAGATATTAATTCTCATAGATTCTTTCACATTCTGTTCTTCATGCTTAAAAACTCCCCATCCAATCTGAAAACGTGGCGGGGGGGGTAGGGGAACACGTAACTCCAGTGTGCTTTAAAAATACTTGAAACACGAAAGTAATGACAAGACAAATTAAATAATTACAGTGCAGATGTAAAAATGATTTGATGGTTGAAAATAAAGTCCTTAGTAGCAAAGATCATTATAGTGGAGATCACTACTTGGTTGTTACTGTTTTCAGATATTTTTGTGTGATTAGTCTGTGAATGTGAAAAGGAAGAATTGAAAGATAATGCAGTACTTGAAATGAAGGAAAGAAGGGATGGAGAATCAGTTTCTTTAAGGGATTATTCAGCTAATAGCTTGGAGCCATGGTTTGGATACAGATGGGAGACTTTAGGGCAACCCATCACCTTTTGCTTTCCTTTGCTACATATATACTTGTGATATATATTCTCTTTCTTAGCTATAATTGGTGTATGGTGGTACAGAATGCTCTCTTCTGGTGCTCTGAGTATTTACTGTTTAGTACAGAAGAAACAATTGCTAGATGTGCACTTCTGTGTTGAAAAATAATTCCTTTGACATTGCAATTTGATATTGCACTGGTTTTTATTATTGTTGCATATACTACTGAAGTGCATCTTATAATTGTGCACAAGTTTGGGGTTTTATTTATTTAATAATTTTTCAGAACTTAAGTGTTACTAAAAATTATCCTGATGATAGAAAAGCTTTTTTTCTTTCCACTGTTCATACGCTTCTTCGTCCTCAGGGCCATCTCCTGATTTCTGTAGAAGTGGAGGAGTATGTCATGGTAACGAAGCATTAATGTAGTAAATACCATTGCTCTTGCTTTCACTGGTTAACAGGGATCTAGATATTCAGTTTCTTGATTAAATTGTATTTTTGTGTTAAACTTATCATAAAATTAAAAAGATTTTTTTCCTTCCACCAATGACTGTAAAAATTAGTTTCAGTAGAGCCACTTAATATCTATACTTGTCTGTGATAATTTGGAATTTATGTTTTCATACTCTAGTTGTAGTGAGATAGAAAAAGTGGATTTTAAAGATTTTGAGTGGATAATTTTTATTATTTATTGGTAAAATTACATTCCATTTGTAACATTATTATACATTGAATGACTATACTTAACTAGTCTAACTGAATATAAAGAAAGTAAGAATGCTTTTATGATATGTTTGCAAATGTGTTTTGTATTCTACAAAATTAGCTCTTGAAATTTTTTTAATAGCAAGCTAAAAGTGATTTAACTGTCAGAAGAAACACAAAAATCCATTTTTCAGTTACATAGCTCATTTTGATTCCCAAACTTACTGTTAAATATACATTAAACCTTTTCTTTAAATATAAGTTTTAAGAAAGATACAGTAACGTACAATTGTAATGGGTGTTTCAAGACAGTAGGTGATCCAAGGCCTACATCCAAGCCTACATCCAAGGCACGTGGGCTTGAAATAAAAAGTAATATTTAATTTAAATTTTAACCCCAAAGGCTAAAGAAAAGGGCCAGGTAAAGAAAAGAAAGCCAGGTCTATGAA